TTTGTTATTGAATATTTTAGTATAATGCTATGACTTATCTCATATTATTGTATTAGTTATTTGGAAAACCCATTATATAGTTGTATTTTACTAGGACCTAAGAAATATTTGGAGCACAAGTTACATATTTTATGTTATGAAGACTTTACCGGGAAAAACCCGAAAACCCGAGAAAAATCGAGATTGAAAAACCCGACTTTGTTGGTTTGGTTTGGATTATAAATTAAAAAACCCGACACCATTGGTTTGGTTTGATAATTGAAAAATCTAAACCAACCCGACCTATATACCCCTACTTTGCACATAAGTATACTATGTGAGCCCCACTTTAATTTATTCTCACATTCAGTACATCAATTAAAAATTACACCAATTATGTAATGTTAAAGTGTGTAAATATTTATTGTCTTAATATTTTATATTGATATAAGAAATAAGAACAAACCGAATATTAACTACTAATCATTTTTCATGAGTCAATTTTACTAAGTTCCAGAATTTGATCAAACTTTGGATCGCATTTTTCAATCTGTGAGTTCAAAAGAATCAGTGTTCTTTTCCACTTGTATTTTCGTCCACTCTACGGTAACTAAGTGGTTAAGTTAATAGTATGGAATAATAGATTTTGATTTATGTCGAGATTTATCTTCATAAATTAAGATTAACTTCTAGCTTATCTATATCAAGCTTTATCTTTATATATTTATTTCTCCATTGCTATTGTCTTCGACATAAACAAACTCGATATAATATTATTCTTTTTATAAGAAAAGCAAATTAAAGGAGATCAAACTTTGTTATTTTGTGAACTGATTATAGAAAAGATAGTTCTCCAATTAGAATATTACATTATTTGTCTTTTTTGCCTTCTAGACTTGGTAGGCGGTTGCCTACATGCATCCAGGGACTAATTGACACAGTTTCAGACAGAGGATGCTGCTCTAGTTTGGTTGACTTTTGGCATGTGAATAATCGTAAATGAAAAGGTTGTTTCCTCTTTTGTGTAATTGGCAAGTTTTCATAACTGCTCAGCTAACGAAAATTATCCTTGTGGAGCTTAATTAACAGAATCAAATTGAATTAAAATACTAATTAGTACATTCAGATTAAAAAATGTATGGAACATATCCCATCTGGTATAGTTAAGTTAATAAATTTGAAGCGTACAAAAATTGACACGTTGAGATCTCCAATACTGATATTTGTCCATTTTCCGATTGTAGTCATCAAATCTACTTAAAAGTATTGGTGAAAATACATGTATAATTGACAAATGAAAATTAAGATTTGAAGGTGAGATACAGATGTCTCGCTCGGGCAGTGGTAATACTTTTGGTCTGTGTTTTTTCAGCAGCACAACAATATACATGATTAAAGAATAAAGTTGGATAAATTGTCGATAAATCTAAAGCTCCACCACGATAATATATTTCATCCACTGTAAAACTCCATTTTTATGTTGGAACAATTAATTAGGATCTTCTCCTTCACTTATCACAATTTTCATACACCACTAAGAAGAAGCCTATTTATAGTCTACCCCAAAATAACTAAAAATTAGGCGAGCATAACAATATTAGCATCATAGATCTAATAGCTGATGATTCAGTAGACCTATTAGTTTGAAAAAGGTACGTATGTACGAGGTGGTCAAATTGACCATTTTTTGTCGAAAAATTATACTGTGTATATAGATAAAATATTAGATTCTAGAGGTGTATAACATTTATTGAACACCTTTGTCGAATTTTTTTCCCCACTTCTTTCAAGTCTTCGCCCCTGCGTATGTAGTGGATGAAAACAAGGAACTCTCCGACTGTCTCTGGTATGCCTTCAATAAAACTGTGGGACAAGTTGAGAAGATGAAGAGATTTGAGCTCTCCGACTGTCTCTGGTATGCCTTCAATAAAACTGTTATTCGACAGGTCAATGGAGTTGAAGATAACAAGAATTTTTCCTATGGTGACTTCTCGTCCTTTAAAAGAATGAGTGACTGTGTCCTATTAATAAGCTATTGACGCTAATTCAGACTGAAAATGCAGATGATCAAGGCGTGGATGTGCTTCCACTGAGTCAATATTCATAGCTTCCATATCCAAGAATATATTTCTTGGTAGAATGCCACTGAAATTATTGGAAGCTAGGTCAATTATTTGGAGAGCAGGCCAGGTGTAATTGACCCTAGAGCAACCAATGTTGCCATGAAAATTATTGAAGCGTAGCACAAGTACGTGGAGATTTGAAAAGCTCTTCAACCAGTAGGGCAAGGTATCAGTTATCTTGTTGTTTCCCAAGTTTAACACCTTCAGTTTCCTGCAATTGGATAAAGACCGAGGAATCTTCCCTTCCAAGTGATTTTGCCTTAGATCTATGGTCTCCAAGCTACACTTCTCTGAAAAGTTTTCAGGTAAATTACCCTGACATTGTTTCTTCCAAAGTTCAGCACTTTCAAACTACGGCTGCTTTGTTTAGCTAAACATGCTGGTATTTTGCCACTCAATTTCTTGCTGGACAAATCAAGTACTTCAAGATTGGCCGCGCTACAGATTGAAGAAGGGATAGTTCCACTGATTGTGTTGTTTGTAATTGAGAGGAACACGGCACTTGCGAGGTGATTGCCTACTAGTAGTAAATTTATTGCTGGTGGTATAAAGCTGTACGTGGTGGTAATGGAATTTCCCCCGTAAGCAGATTCAAATGTAGATCCAGGGAATCTATATTGCGAACTCTGTAAGGCTCCTGCAAGTGTGTGAACTAATTACGAGATAGATTCAGATCAGTGAGACCTCCATCCCATATCCAGTTTGGAATTTCACCTTTGATATGGTTGATCGACAGATCTAACAACGTCAACTCAGATTGCTTCTTAAGGAAATTAATATTATACAGATTACAAGAGGCCAACCTTAAGATACTCAAATGGGGGAGCAACGCGAGTTCTGATTCACTTATATTTGTGTCAACAAACTGATAACCTATTGTAGGACAGAACAAGAGCAACAAGGTTCTTAAGCTTTGTGAACTTTTTCCACTGTACAGTACCATTGAATTTGTTGTAAGAAAGTGCAAGTTCTTGTAGATGGCATAGCTCAAAGAAAAACCCTGGTATTGGCCCTTCCAAGTTATTGCCAACCAAATAAAGCTTTCTTAGTTGAGAAGAAGTCACAAAATGTACTTCAGTTATTTGGCCAGTAAAATTGTTGGCGGACAAATCTAAGAACTGAAGTGACAGTAAGGAAAACAGTGATGCTGGAATTAGCCCAGAAAGTGAATTTTCACGCAAAATAAGGGCTATAAGATTCTCAAGGCCAACCCAGTGAGAGGACAAAATCTCACCGGAGAAATTATTTCGTTGAAAATTTATCATGGTAAGATTTTTGGATTGCCTAAAGGATAGCACTGATCCAATTAATAAAGAGATTCTGGGAGAAATCCAGATAACGAAGCTGGGTAAGATTTTCTATAGAAGATGGGATTTGACCTGTAAAATTGCAACCCAAAAGATCAAGTTACTAAGGAACCCAATGGACTTGGGTAAACTTCATAAGAAATTTGTATAGCTAAGAACCAGACTCTGTAAAGATGCATTTGAAGGAGATTCAGGTAAAGAACCCCAAGCACATAATTGTTTGACAAGTCAATTGTCTGCAAAGTTGGTACTTGGAATATTTTCTGAGGTAGATCTAATGGAGTTCTAAACCAAAGCACAAATAGTTACACAACAGTAGCAACTGTTTATTTAATTTGTTTGTTTTGGGCCACTTTGTATATTGGGCTAGTTTTGCAGGTATTTGTATTTAGTGGTCACAATATTGCCGGGTTAGTAGTTTTAGGCCCAAACTATAAATAGAGTATGGTAGCTGTTTGTAAGACCGATCGGGTCATTATTCTTTACACAGATAATAAAATGGAGCTCTTTCTCTCTTTGAAAATACATTCGAAACCCTAATCAAATCCCCTCATTTTTTTCTCATCTTACAATATTTTCATGGTATCAAAGCGATGATTCTGGTGCATCTCGAGCTACTCGTTCTTCCGATCCTACCCCGGTCAATTTTGGTTGAATGTTTTGGTCTTCGATTGTTCAAAAACTCGGAGATTTTTCTTTCAAAAGGAGCAACTTTTTATCGATCTGCACTCTAGACCAGAGTTAGGGTTATTTTCCGGCGTTTTAGGTTGAAACTTGACAAGTGTTCATGACTCTGATTTGCTCAGTGTTTGGAGCTAGGGTTACATATGGTTTCCGTCATCTGAAGGTCGTTCTTCTCTAGTAGCGAAAAAGTTGGGAAAATTCGTTCCTCTTCTTGTGTTTAGGACTGCTGCATGTAGTTTTTCTTGTTGAAATCTTTGTTGCAATTTTGTTCCCTGTACTCGTCGTTTTATCGATACTGTGTGATAACCATGGGATCCACTGATACTTTTTTCCCTGATCCCTCAATTCCCCTGTTTGGACATTCCTCTGATATTCCTGGTATTTCATTAGTTCCTGCTTCTTTTTCGGGTAGTGGTTTTGGGGGTTGGAGGAGAAAGATGATAGTTGCTTTATCTGCTAAAAACAAGATAGCTTTTGTTGATGGTACATGTCCTTGACCTCTTACTACTGGGTCTGAACTAAAATTATGGTATAAGTGCAACAACATGGTAATATCATGGTTGGCAGCCTCATTATCCCCTGAGATAGCTGAAAGTGTGTAATACTCTAAGACTGCTCAGAGTATTTGGGTGCAATTACAAACTAGGTATGGGACTGCAAATAGGACCAAAATATTTGAACTAAAAAGGGAACTTACATATACTTCCCAAGGTGCATTAGATATAGATTCATACTTTAATAAACTGAAGAGGTTATAGGATGAGTTGGGAGTGATGTGTACTAACCATGGACAAAGATGTACTTGTGCTGCAAAGCCTGGTATTCTGCAAGAGGATGAGGAGAATAGACTATTTCAGTTCCTCATGGGGTTGAATGAAACATATAAGGGGTGAGGAGCAATCTTATTATGATACAACCTCCACCTAGCCTTGACTGTGCTTATAACATCCTTCTTAATGATGAAAAGCAGAGGCAAGTCCAGTCCAACTCTCAGTTCAATCCTGAATCCATGTCCTTCAATGTTAGTATACAGATTAAGCCTGGTTTTGGTTTCAATCCTAGTGCCACTTCCAATCCTCCTCCTCCCAGACCATATGCACCAAGAATTAACTTTTATCAGAATAGAGCACCCCTGTTCTGTAAATATTACAAGAAATCTGGACATCTGGTTAAAAAATATTATAAACTCCATGGGTATCCACAAAGTCCCAAGTTTAATAAGGGTAAAAGGGCTATCTCTCATGTATCTACTGCAACACATACTAACTCTGAATGCAGTGTTTTTAAATCTGCTGGCACTTTAGATGAGGGAATCAATGCTGCTTCTAATGTTGATGGTTAGGGATCCATTATCCCAGGTCTGACCAAGCAGCAATATGATCAATTGATGAATTTGTTGCAACAGTCTCATATGGGGAATTCTTCCAATACCCAAACCAATCTCATGTGCTCTACTAATTTTGCTGTTACTTTATTAACTGAAAGTCCAGTTTCTGATTCTAATCTTTGCTTGCTTACTCAAAATAATTATGTCACCTCGATAATAGATTCAGATGCTTCTGATCACATGACTTCTAATAAAGAACTACTTTTTGATATTACACCTTTAACTATTCCTTACCTTGTAACTCTTCCTAATGGATACAAAGTGAAAGTGACCTCTACTAGTTCTTTTGCTTTGACTCCTTCAATCATTCTTCATAATGTGTTGTTTATTCTTTCCTTTCAACACAACTTAATTTCTGTTCATAAGTTAATCAAACAACTACATTGCATAGTATTATTCACTGCTACTTCTTGTCTATTGCACATGTTATATGTCCCTTCTCTGAAGATGCCTCTGGATCTTGGTAAAGAGGAGGATGGCCTGTACAAGTTCACTTGGGTGCAACCATCAGATTCTTCAATTTTTTCTAGTTCAAATTCATGCAGCATTGTTCCTATATGCCCTGTAGTTGAATCTTGCAAATCTATTTTTCCTTCTGGTTCTAAGAATGTTTCCAGTACTAGTTCCTCTTTGTGTAATAATGCTGCTATGAATGATATGAACTTTATTTGCATCAAAGATTGGCACACATTCCTTTTGCAAATATGAAATATATTTCTGTTTTGTCTTCTTCTCTTTATTCTAGGCAATCTTTCCCTTATTCTATTTGTCCTATGGCTAGACAAACTAGACTTTCGTTTCCTGATAGCTCAATTAGTACGACCAGCACTTTTCAATTGATTCATATTGATACATGGGTACCCTGTCATACACCTACTTCCTCTGGTTCAAGGTACTTTCTTACAATTATTGATGACTTCTCCAGGACCACCTGGACTCATCTACTGGGTTCAAAAAATAATGCTTTCTATATGATTAAGGCTTTCTTAGCCATCTTCAAAACCCAATTCAATGCAAAAGTTCAAACTATTAGAAGTAACAATGCTTTGGAATTAGGCTCCAGCAATGCTGGTTCTTCATTTTTCAGCCAACTTGGTATCATTCACCAAAATACATGTCCTCACACCCCCACAACAAAATGGGGTTGTTGAAAGGAAATACAGAACACTTCTTGAAGCCTGTAAAGCCTTATTGTTTCAATCCAAACTACCTGTCACCTTTTGGGGAGATTGTCTTCTCACTACTACATACTTGATAAACAGAATTCCATCCAGAATCCTTAGAAACAAGTCATCTTATGAGATTCTATATGGGCAACCTCCCATTTACTCTCACTTAAAGAGCTTTGGTTCCCTGGCTTATGCCATTATTTCTATTTTTCAAAGAGATAAGCTGCAGCCTAGGGTCATTCCATGTGTCTTTATAGGTTATCCTTTTGCTAAAAAGGGATACAAGCTATACAACTTAGCCTCTAAGAAGTGTTTTGTCTTTAGGGATGTCATTTTTCATGAAACATATTTCCCTTTTGTTGCTCCTACTTCTTTCGTTCCTTCATCATTCCTATCTTTTCTATCTTCTCATGTCCTTTATCAAGACCCTATGCCTTCTCTTCCTCATGTTCCTCCTCCTTCTCCTTTTTCTCCTGATGTATCTTCACCTTCTACTTCTCCTCTGCATTCTCCTTTACAACATATTCATCCTGATATGTCCTCTCATTTATCTATCCCTCCTCCTCCCCAACACTTAGAAAATCTTCCAGGCAATATGCTGCTCCTTCTTACTTGAAGGATTATGTTTGTCAGCTTTCTTCCTTTTCTGGTTCTTCCTCTTTACCACCCGTGGAAACTGAACCTTTCGGCTACTCTCAAGCTGCCTCAGTTCCAGCCTGGCAGGATGCCATGAGAAAGAAATTTGATGCCTTGGATGCTAATCACACTTGGGACATTGTGCCCCTACCTTCTGGTAAGAAACCTATAGGTTGCAAATAGGTCTACAAAATCAAGTACAAAGCTGATGAGAGTGTGGAGAGGTACAAGGCTAGACTTGTCATTAGGGGGGATACTCATGTTGAGGGAGTTGACTTCACCGAAACTTTTTCTCCTGTCATCAAAATGTCTACTGTTAAATGCTTAGTAGTTGTGGTTATCAAGCATAGTTGGTCTCTTTCCCATTTAGATGTCAATAATGCTTTCATTCATGGAGATCTAGATGAGGAGGTCTACATAAAGTTACCCCAGGGTTTGACTATTTTTGCTCTCTCTGGTTCTGCCCCTCTTGTGTGCAAATTGAGGAAATCTCTTTATGGGTTAAGAAAGGTATCAAGGCAGTGGTATGCCAAGCTCTCTCAAGCTCTCTATTCCAGGGGATATACTTACTCACTCAATGACTATTCCTTGTTCATCAAAGGTGCTCCTGGCAACTTGGTCCTATTAGCAGTTTATGTGGATGACATTATCATTACTGGGGATGACATTGCTGAAATTTCTGCCTTAACGCAGTTTTTGGATGCTCAGTTTAAAATAAAGGACTTGGGCTCCTTACACTACTTCTTGGGTATTGAGGTTTCTTCTATCCCTGGTGGGGTTATTCTAAATCAGAAGAAGTTTGTTACTGACCTACTTCAGCAATTTGACTGTAATGTTGTGTCCCCTGTTGTATGCCCCTTAGAGCTCAACTGTAAGTTGCATGCAGATACTGGTGATTTATTACATTTCCTTGATCAGTATAGGAGTTTGGTGGGCAAGCTTATTTTTCTTACACATACACGTTCTGATATATGTTTTGTTGTACAACATTTGAGTCAATTCTTGAAGAGTCCTAGAGTTCCACACATGACTGCCGCTCTCCATGTCTTGAGATATCTCAAAGGGACTGTGGATTTAGGACTGTTTTACTCATCTTCTCCTGACTTTTCTATCTATGCATGCATATTCAGATAGTGACTGGGCTACCTGCCCTCACACTCGTAGATCAGTCATAGAGTTTTGTGTAATTTTGTGTGGTTGTCTCATTAGCTAGAAATCCAAAAAGCAGCCAGTTGTTTCTCTATCTTCTGTTGAGGCTGAATACAAGGCCCTTAGCAAAGTCGTTGCCGAGCTTACTTGGTTTTCCAGGTTGATGTCTGACTTTGGTCTCACTGCTTCTCTTCCCATTTCTGTCTTTTATGATAATCAGGCTGCTTTGCACATTACTAGGAACCCTGTTTTTCATGAACGAACCAAGCACATCGAAGTGGATTGCCATTTCATCCGAGCCAAGCTCCATGATGGTCTGATTCACCTTTCTCATGTGCCTACTTCTCAACAGCTGGCTAATATTCTCACTAAGCCTCTCCCTGGTGCCCTCCATCATCATTTTTTGTGCAAGTTGAAGGTGGTCTCCCCCTCCAAATTGGGGGGAGGGGGGGGGGGGGGGGGTGGTATTGATTTAATGGAGTACTTTCTAAACCAAAGCACAAATAGTTATAGTAGCAGCTGTTTATTTAATTTGTTTATTTTGGGCCACTTTGTATATTGGACTGGTTTTGCAGGTATTTGTATTTAGTGGTAACAATATTGCCGGGTTAGTAGTTTTAGGCCCAAACTATATGTAAATAGAGTATGGTAGCTGTTTGTAAGACCGATCGGGTCATTATTCTTCACATAGATAATAAAATAGTGCTCTTTCTCTCTCTGAAAATACATTCGAAACCCTAATCAAATCCCTTCATTTTCTGTATCTTACAATGTTTTCAACTTCTCCTGTCAAATTGCAAGATCTTAGACTCAAGACAGTTAGATGGGAGAAGTCCGCAAAGAATTCTGGAATTGGAGCAGATAAATCGTTCCAATCAAGAACGATAACTGAAAGAAACTTAGATTAGCTAATGCAGAATTATTGATACTGCCCGAGAAGGATTCATAGCTGAGATCAAGACCAATAACTTGAACTGCACCATTGCAGGTGATACCCTGCCATTGACAGCAATCAATCTTCTTTTCCCATGTTGCCAGCTTGAGGGATGCCTCATAATCATAAGTAAGGTTATTTCTGAGCTGCAGCAGCAACATCTTCTGATCCTCAAGACATTTGCTGGAATTAGCCGCATCTACATCATTCATTCTACAGCAGATGGAGAGTAGCAGGATCAAGAAAAGCTGGCAAAACATTATTTGACTTCTCATTATTTTGAGACTGACCAGAAAGGAAAGTTGAAAGGTTTTGCTGATGTGAAACGGTATTAAATGGAGTAGCAAATATTTGCATGAGGCATGAGGGATCTAGTAAATTAAACAACGTGATGCCTTTCTTGATGTCTGTATCATTTTTTTTAACTTATCCTTTGGGCTTTGGCAAGCAGTGCAATGTTGATGCCTTTCATGGATCATCACCTTATTTCGTCCCAACAATATATTATATTTTATTTTGTTGTCGTTAGGTTGTTTGGGAAATAAGTTATTCCAAGATTAATTATTTCGGGTTAATTATCACACCCTCCCATAAAGATAAAAATAACACTATAATTTCACGAAATTAGTTATATCGCGATTTTATTCCAACTAAACGTAAGATAAATTTATCTCAAATTTAATTTCATGATTAATTATCCCTTATTCGTGGTACAAAAGGAGTTAGAGTTCAACAACCTGTGTTACAATCGAAACCGACATCCTCCGTGTGTATTCACTGGAATTTAGCCAATTTCCTTACAGGACATGGAGTGCTTTGATTTTCTCTCTCTTTCTTGACTGTTTAATTTATTTATTTGCCATGTGATTCCACAGCTAGTTATTTTAAATTGTCCGGCTTCATCTTTTCTCACTTGCTTTACTAAAGAAAGCAATCTTAATTAGGATTCTGAGACAGAGAGATTGAGCTCTTTCTTTCTTTCTTTCTAAATAAAAATAAACTTGTTTGCTTGAATTTAAATTTGTATTTTGAGTAATATTCCTGCTGAAAATGATACTAAATAACCGCTTGCAGCACCTCTATTTAAAATATATCGATTTTTAAAATTATTTAAAATTTAATCAGTTTTGGCAAACTCCAAACTGAACATGCTTCTTCTAAAGGTTTGACCGAAATTGCACTCTACCAAAATCTAACTTAATATCCAAGGGTTAAAATTTGAAAAGTCAAAGTTCAAATTTAAACCTTCAGCATGAAATTGGGCTCTATTAAAACTTAACTTTCAAACTTTAAGTTTAAACTTGAACTTTCTTCACCGCGGGTTTAGATATAGTCCAACTGCAAATTCAAAGGTGTAAATTTGAAAACCTCAAATCTCGTATGTGAAGTTGATTCAAAAAAGCTATTTTAAGATGGTGGGGATGAGACACAATTAGAAGAAGACGATGTGTGGCAGATAATTTATATTTTAAATTTGCGGACGCCGTGTCTATCCATAAAGTTTGTTATGCAGTTGAAGGAACACCTGAGGAAGCTTCTATATATTTGATGTGCGACAATTTTCATCACTTCTATTGAACTTTAGTTCGTATCAGTAGATTTTAAATATGGTCGAGAAACAAGGTAGGATTTTAATTCGTTATTCGTTTTTGGCTCAAAATACGTATAAATGAGGAACAGTTGTTGTATGGAACTTTTATGTATTACATCCGTCTTACGTTGATACTTCATTTGACTGCTAAAAGACAGTCCAATTTTATTTTTTTAACTGTCAATTTACCAAGTTTCATTTGATCAAACATTGAATTAATCGCAATTTCAAATATGAAGTCCGAAAAGATTAATTTTCCGTTTTTCTATTTGTATTTCGCCCTCTTTACGGTAAAGTATTCGAGTTTTTTAGAATGGTTAAATTAGTCGTATGGACTAAATCTTCTTGTTTACTATTTGTTTCAAGCTTCATCTTCCTCCAGGTTGTCGCCACTAGCCATCGATATAGCCAAACTCAAAATTTTGATCTACTTAGAAAGGAAATTACACTCAATGACCCTAAGAATGGACAGTTTTGATTTTTTGACTTCCGCTTGTCCCATGGACAAACTTTTAAGGTAAAAATTCAAAAATGTTAGACCATGAGGCAAGCGAGGGGCAATACTTATTAAACTTGAAGTTTTGTCACGGTAAAAATTGTGTCAAAAAAATCAAGATTGCCCACTTCCAAGGCTATTCTTGCAATCATCCTTGGAGTTGAAAGAGCTGACGTTTTTATATTTTTTATCTCTCTAACTTCCTGTTCGTTTTCAATTTCAAAATATCGAACTTTCTTGTTATGCAAAGGAATAATAAAAATATGTTCTTCTATTAGAATAATAGAGTTTTTAGCCAAAATTATCTCTTATCTTTGAGGGTAAGTTAAACTTTGTCCTTCAAATATAACCCTGAGCACCCTTCGTCCTTTTAATTTGCAAAATTTGAGCACATATAGTCCAAGTAACACAAACCACTACTTCCGTTACATATAGCCTGCACGTGAAGCTTAAAAACAAATAAGAAAATCTACCTCTTTCACCCTTTCAATAAGTGAATTCCCTCTCCCTAAAAGCCTGCATTTCAATGCAGTTAACTCTCTGCAAATCGCTACTTTTTTATGAGAGTTTATATGACTTTGTGCCAAAGCAAAAACGAAATTAGCATATGGTGATTACCGATAAAAGATTCCTGGTCGACACGACCACATTGCCCTATTTGCAAAACACTGGAGCCTAACTTCAATTTAAACAATTTCTAATTTAGTTCACAATCAAGGTTCCCATGAAGTATTTCTCTTCTTTCTTAAGTTGCCTGCAAGATTTTAGAAAGTGTTAAGATCTTGTCAAAGAGTATTTTAATATTAGATTGTATGTAAGATTGTATGTCTGATATTGTCAAAGATTGTAGGTAAAGAGGCGTGATCTTAGGGATACACTCTTGACTTGTGTGTCTTCCTTTGCGTATATATTTTAGGTGTAATATACCTTTTGAAGTATGAAGTGAAATACACTTACATCATTCATATGGTATCAGAGCCACCATAAGTAGCCTTTTCCGGTGACTACTCCGGCAGCCGCTATTCACTAGGCTTTTTCCACCCATCTCTAATTTTCATTCCAGGTCTGTGAGGGTCGATCATTCCGGATCCAGTAACCAGAGAAGAGTTCTGGTAAAATCAGTCCCTTTTTTTTTCCGGCAAAGTTCTCGGATCTTGTTATCCATTTGAGTCAAATCACGTAATAGGCTCATATTCTCCAGATCTGTAACCACCACCTTTTTCATCCATTTCTCATAGCCATTGTAGTCACCTTTCAATTACCGGATTGCTGTGGGGAAAGGGAATTAAAATTGGGGTTGAAAGAGAAAATTAAAAACTTGAGAGTGTTCTGGTGAGTCTTTGTTTGGTGGGTCACGTGAGGTGTAAGAAAGTTTTAGCTTCAGATAAGCTTTTCCCTAGCTAAAGTTTTTTTTGGTTTCAAGTCCCACTTTACTGTTTTTCATTACAGGTGGTGGGTATTTTTTCTAACGAGCCTTCTTTTTCACAAAATCTTGAATTTTCCATTTCCTTACATAGTGCTCTTGCTTTGGTTCTCTGTCCCACGTCATTTGCACATTTGCCTTTCTGAAATTAAAATTTCAAAATGGCAAGTGATTCTTCACCAACAGATGATATTAAACCATTTTTCACTTCAATTTCAAATCCTTCCACTATTACAACTGTTAGATTACAAGGTAGTGATAATTACACACCATGGTCTTCTTTGGTTGAGATGTGGTTTATGGGACAGGGATATGAAGATCACTTAGTCAAAAGTGCTAGTGATATTGATACTAGTGAAAGAACTAAGTGGACTCGAATTGATGCACAATTGTGTAATCTTATATGGAATTCTTTGGATCCTAAGTTACTCAAACTATTCCAGTCTTGTAAAACTTGCTATAAGGTTCGGACTAAAGCTAAGGTTTTGTATACGAATGACGTACAACGTATATACAAAGTTGTCTCAGATCTAATCCAACT